GTTTTTACAAAACTCGGGGATATAACCGGGGGTGGGATATAACTGGGTAGGGATATAAACGGGGTACGAGTGTATTTAGTAACGCATTATGTAAACTGTTTGTACCCGGACATATAATCCGGGTCTATTTTTTGGGGGGGGTATATCCCATAAACTGTATTGTCGGCAAATTTAAGCATTGATTATGACTTACATAGTAATGTCCCAGATCAAGAAATTACGTAATGATTAATAGACACAAGCGTTAAATGATAATCGTGTATTTATTTTTCCGACAAAATAATCCGATATTTGTGTCATACAAGAATAATTTCTATGCGACCACTACCTTAATAAAATTCGCTCACATGATAACGATGGTTTTATTGTCGTGATAAGAATACTTTGTAGACTACCTACTGTTCATTATCTGTCGATTCAACACGGGGTCCTCCCCCTGTCTTCTGTATATGCTTTTTTTTTCGTTTTTCATTCATTACCCAATATCTAACAACCTTCTTTTGGCATATACTAATACTGACCTTGAGCATTTTTGATACAACTAACTGGTTTAAGCGGCATGTACTTCGAATTTCTGCAGCACACGTTTCTTGACTGAAACTATGACTTCCCTTCAAAGAATTCTTGAAGGCTTTTTTTTTGCTAACAACTGCCCTTTTTGAACCTATAAATAAGAACTTTTCAGATATGAGAATCTGACTCTGATCAAGTGACATTAATCCTTCAGAATAAACAATCATGGCGAAAATTCACCGAGTGGTTCTTCAAATGTTATGTCTATAATAAGCAATTCATATTAAAATAAAACGCAAGGCGCTGACTGGAAATCTTACAAATTTATTCAACGGTATAAAGGTTTGCGTGTTACTATCATTATTATGTGAGCATCGTTACCGTAAATAGAAATTATTCTTGTACTACACAAATATCGGATTATTTTGTCGGAAGAATGCACGATTATCGTTAAATGCAAACCCCCATATTTAAATAAAAGGGTGGATATAAATGCACGCCCGTGACTTCACGTGATATTGATAGTGTTACAAAGGTCGACAATAATATTGGCTAAATAAGTGTACGTCATTTCTTCGGTATGTTTGTTTCAGAAAATCTTCGGTTTAACGGTTTATGGAGGTTTAATAGATAGTAACTTCGGTTTGTCGCGGTAATTTTAATAGGCTAAAAGTGCGAATTTCAAAAAAGTTCGCAGTTGTTTATAATCAGCTGGTATGTAATTTCTTAATGTAAGTGCTCGACGTTTTTTATTGTTGGATTTGTTGATTCTTAATTGCTGTATGTTTTGTCTTTGTTCGATCGAATTCTTCTAGACAAATATAATTGGCTGAAATATCGGGGTCAATATTCGGTTTACTTACCCCGTTTATCCGAATGTATGGTTTAGAGCAACTTCGCTAATTCGAAGAAAAACGGCTGCACCAGTTATCGGGTTTGATCTAACCAAACTTAGAAATTTTTGTCTCCTGCTTTTTCTTTATAGCGGTTTATAGAGAGTGAATTTATTTATATATATATATATATATTGTATATAATCTGCGTCACCGGAATTATATATATAATTTGCGGCAGATGACCCCAAGCTCAATTTACATATATTATTTGATTTACCCAAACATGTGGTAGACGATTTACCCCTCCCAGAATTGCATTAGACAAACAGTTGAAGTATCAGACAATTAGAATGCTATATTTAGTAAAGGGGATGCGATGCTGAAGAGAAAGGAGAGCAAAGGAATAAAAGTGTAGCCAATACAAACGAACTTAATAAACACACGAAAGAAAGTAAATTGAACTTTGGGATTATATATAATTCCGGGTGACGCAGATTATATACAATTAACTAATCAGAATCAGATTTCAATCAATCTTTCTCACCATATATACAATCAAACCTCGGAAAACCGATACCTCGCAAAACCGATACTTTTTTCAATTCCGTGTGATAAACCCCTCGTAAAACCGATATTACATATTAACATAGTAATAGACCTCGCAAACCCGATAAACCGATTTTTTTTTGGAGCTTCGATAAACCGATATTTTTTTGGAGCTTCGATAAACCGATATGTAGTGCAAATTACGTGACCTGATTTTTGCAATTTCATTGGTTAACCAATGATCACGTTATCAATTCTACATATGAAGATTTCGCATTAGCCAATAAGAAGCAAAAATGGTGAGGACAGCCACATCGGTTTTCCGAGGTTTGACTGTAACACTCACTAATCGAGTTTCGGTGTTTAGGCGTGACAGTACAGATAATGAGAATTGGTTTTTCGACCACAAATTTCGTTAGCTTATTCGGGTTATGGCTTTGCTAACACTCTTTTTCATAATAATAGCTACAGGTCCTCTCTCTATTGGAACCTTTGGAACTTGGCGTTTTTTAGCCATATGCTTTAATTTTGGTTGTTGCCTTAGTAAAGTGCCCACCCATAATGTATTCATTATTATGGCGAGATTATGGGTTAAAAAAATCTGTAACTATGTGTGGTGTGGCGGGAGCTAGCTGGGATTTGATGTGGCTAAAATAATCAGCAAAAACCGCATGATTCTAGATAATCTTTTTTCAAAAACATAATATAATGCGACATCATTCATCATACAAAATTACATATTGGGATATCAGCCAAATCACCTAATCAATGTGTGTGTAAACCGATTAGTTTATTATAACGAGGGAGGTTTGTTATATATAACTTGGCTGATGAAAATCTTTACTATTTAGCTATAACGGGGATGATTAAGTTTACTATAAAGCGATATTTACTTTAAGAGAGGCTATATTATAGCGTATTTTGAGTGCGTCTAACTCAACAATACTAATTGCTTCATAGTAATTACAATGTATATTCAGCAAGTGAGGAGGACCAAGAAATACAACGATTATTTAGTAGATGTACAGTTAAATAACAGCCATGTAAGCCTTCCTGCAGCTTCAAGGTGTCGTCGATCTTCTATTAACATCCGATTATGACAATACCCAGCGTATCTAATTCGAAACTCATGACAAATCCATGTTGTCTTTATTCCCCTTCTTTTGTCGCTTTTTTGCAGTGACCGACTCCCCATTTACTCGTGCTTGTTGTTTGGAAAGATTCACGTTCTTTAATTCACGTTCATGATTTGGATCCATTTTCATACGCTTATCTTCTGTTTCGGATTCTGTCGACGAATTATCACTATCATTTGAATATTCATCTTCCTCGTTATTAAATGATGTGTGAGAATGTTTAGCATTAGAATAGTTGCTTGTAGCAGGTGAACGGTGAGGACCACTATGAGATGAAGCATCGTATGTTTGTGGAATGCTGGGAAAATGAATGTTCCCCATGGCTGCAGCACCACCACTTGGAATCCCGGCGGCTTGTAACTTCCCGACCCATGCTTCCGCTCGTATTACACTGTCCGCAAATATTTGACAAACACTACTCAGCATTTCTTTGGATTCGTTGGCTAAACTTAATAATCTTCTAGCATAATCAGTAGTTTGGTTGATAGGGTGAGCGTTTGCTGGTGGGAGATGAGGAGAAGACATAGGAGAAGGCGAGGTAGAATGCTCTTGGCGATTTACATATTCCCATTTTTTGGGAAGACTGAGAATAAAACTTCTTACGCTACGTCTTGCTTGTTCTGATAGACAGGCACCAGCATATAGACTTATTACCTCAATCACCTTCCTCAGGGTTTCTACCACCTCTTTCTTTATAGAAGCCAGGGTTGCTGAAGCAGATGAAGGTATTAAGGCTGTATTAGATGACGGTGTGGTAAGGTTGAGGATAAATTGACGGAGGACTGCGATTTGTCTGTCAATATGTCGTGTAGCGTATAGAAGCCATTGTTGACAGTATTTCAATGACTTCATACTCTCTTCGGAAACAACTGCTCCCACTGCAGCGATAGCAGCCCCCCCATCCATTACTAACTGGGCATAACTTCTCCTCGACGTAGATGCTGCACCAGAAACGACACTACTATTATTAGGATTAGGATAGGGGGAGTATGATGCGCTTGTTGAGGAGCCATTAGACTGAGAAGTTCTGTGAATTCTTCCTCCCGGTCTATGAGAAGGTGAAGAACTTTTACCATCACGTCGTCTCCGCAGTTCATTATCTGCTTCTAAGACATTATCCTGCTGCGTATTCTGAGAACCCATGACAGGTCGTGATAGAGTTCTGATTCCAGATCCTACCAACTGCAACATAGGTGAAGTCGCCACTGTTTCTTCATATGCCTTTCTGGTCTTATTTAAGACTCTATCGAAGAGACCTGTCGCAGACGACGGAGCTGAGCCGTTATCATCTTGAGTAGTCTGTTGCGGGTTTACTTCTGAAAAAATACAAGTCACAGAGCGAGTATGAGCGTTTGTTTACTATATTCTGTTGAAGGCAGGTACACAACGATGATGGATGCAATATGACTTACCACTTGACACAGTCTTGCTCATAGTTAATAAGGCACTAACCGCCCCGCTTACTTCGTCAGTATCGTCCGTATTGACCAACTGTCTAATAGACATCCTCGAGTCTGAAGTTGTTTGTTGAGGAGACAAGGAATGTGGAGAAGTAGAAGTAGGCTCTTCATGGCCAGGGCTTGGATAGTTAATGTTTGGAACGACAGTCTCTCCGAGAGTCGGATGTATTGAGAGAAGAGTAGACTGTGGTTGTGGTGATTGTGGTGATGGTGGTAATGTTGGTTGTTGTTGTTGTTGTTGCTGCTGTTGCTGGTGTTGTGTTGGATACATAGTGTGAATGAGGTGTAGGGGTTGTAAGGAAAAAAAGTTATCAAAATTGTATGACACGTAACAACAACTATTATACAGATATATGCAAGTTTTTTTTTTCTCTCAGGAATGTCTTGAAGTGTGGCGAGTAAAGGATAATGTCGTAAAGGAGGTTGAAAGGCGCCTTCAATTGTTTGTATGGGATCATGTGAATACGGATGGTATGACTTCACATGTCGGAGTTCTTGTGAAACAAAACAAACAAATCAACATAAATATTCTTCCTGTTGACCCCTTTTATTCACGCTCTGTGATACTGCTTGGTGACATTCATGTGATTAAGTATATTTAACCTCTACCTCTTGTAAGGCATGTATTGAATAGTATGTCCAATAACATTCTCATGGCGAAAACAGTAATTTGCGGGAAAAAAGACAAACCAAAAAACAGTAACTGGTTCATATGCAACAATAAAGTGATGCTTTTTTTGTGCGATTATTGCAAAACCACAAAGGGAACAAATGACGTCACTCTCATTAACTTATTATTCACATACATAAAATAATGAGAAATCACATGATTTTTATGTAACCTTTTTTATTTTATTAATAATAAGGGTTTAATTGGATTCATACCAGGTGATTTATGACAAATCCTTGGTTGATTGTCCTGTTGGCAACAATTTCGGAGATATTATCAACAATTACAATTATCTGGGCAAATTATTAGACCTCCCTTCACTTTCTTTGATTGAAAAAATCACCAAAAGAAGTCCGACTGTGATGACAAGAGATAAAAATAGCTCCGCGATCAGTTCATCGATAACGCGACTTTGTCACAAGTTGTCAGTAATTACACAACTTGTCAATCAGGCATCAATATCAATATAACAAAATACTAGACGTGCATTGAAAAGTGATAACAGAATATTCTATGTTCCTATGTATTGATTATTCCGATTAATCGTCTCAATAATACACGAATCCTAATGAATCCCTTTGCTATTTACAGTAACTTGCCGAGCTGTGAATTACCTTAATTAATGGTTGCGCATCTACACTAATACAGTTAATCTGGTTATAATGAACTTTGGCTGTAATAAAGATCTGTTTATAATGAAGATTGTCACCAAACAAACCATCAACTGATTATCATCTTTGTTATAAAAAGAGACCTTGGTTATAAGTAATTATTTTCCCCAATCCCGTAGAATTTGTTATAACCAGGTTAGAGAGTATACTATCGATCCCCTTGCCGTTTGAATATGAATCTAGGATTTTAGGTATTGATTACATGAGTTGGAAAACCCTAATAACAGGTATCAATTATCAAGAGAAAGTTTCTCCAGAGTTAAGAGATAAATCTCAAGCTTGGCTGCTCTCTCGTATTAGCTGGCACAACAGAACTATATTATATGTGAGGAGCTTTATTCAAGATGCTCAGTTACAAAGCTCTTTGTAATAGTAATAGTAATAGAACATTATCATGTATTAGTATCATATACAGTGGTGTTCATAAAAAATGGCACAAACGAATTTTCTTCTAACTCATTACACATTGCTCCAAATAACATGATTTGAAAGCCTAAAAGGTGCTGTTGATTGATTTATTATTTAATATGGGATGCGATCACCATTATTTTCTATAATTAGTTCACATCGATGCTGCATCGAATCTATTAAATTAATTAGGACAGTATTTGGAATATTGTCCCACTCTTCAGTCATAAACTGTTCTAACTCCTTACTATTACATTTTTTTGGTTTACATTTGTTTTAACTATGTTCCAAAGGTTTTCGATAGGATTAATATTAAGGTCCCTTCTCCCAATAATATAATATCGTTTGTCGTCGTCTTTCGTTAACTGATTGCGAAGTAAGTTGAAAATAAGTCTGTTTGGAAATGGTAGTCTATTGCATAAGCTTTGTTTTGATCCATTGATTACGCGTTTATTTTGAAAATTGACTGAGTTACACATATACGAACTAAATTTTGTTGAACACCACTGTAGATATAATCACAACAGAGCATGGCATCACAAACTGTTGTTACGCCCTCTTGTCTATGAAGTTTGATCTGATAACATTTGATTAACATACACTACCTGGACAAAAGCATCAGGCGTCCTAACTTTATTAATTGCTCTAAAGTGTACATAATAACTAAAGTTAAGTTTTTCTATGTTATAGTCTGATTTATGAAACACGGATATATTTTTTACGCGTTGTTTATATTTATTTCTTTGTAACAATATAATAAACGGGATTGGTATTTTTAACTTAACTGAAGCTGAATGTGACCAAATTATGAAAGTAGTGCTACAAAAATGAGCATATGTAAACTCTTGGCTTTCCTAACAACCCAACCAGCAGTGGTTACCCAAAACTTTTAAATTTTAAGCATAAACAAATATTAAAATGGGTTGTTAAGCAAAGCAACAAGAAATTAGCTGACAAATCAAAATCTGTTTAATGAAAAATCAAACTTGGTGTTTCTACAAGAACTTCTTGCATTCTGAAATCCAAGCCTACTGATCGGCAAAGAGAAAAGCACCAGAAGTCAGTGATGAAAGTCACATTCAAGAATGATGTGGGGCATGCTGCAACAAAACCAGACAAAGTGAACATTCTATAATTGAGGTGTAACTGATGACATTTTGAAAAGTAATAATGTGCTCATTCATAACTTATGGACTTTAACTTGTTAATTTTAATGTTTACTTCATCATACCAGAATGTGAGAAATATAAACCATAACAGGATTAATATATATAGGATTATCTCTATATAAAAATATAAATATGAAACTAATTTACATTAAATCGATTATGGAACCCAAGAATTACAGCACCATTAGAAGCATTTTAAAGAAAGCTCAAGGAGAAAAGATTGCTCCCTATATTTTTAGCAATATCTAGACCAAGAAAAAATTACTTATGAAATTTATCAAGAGGAAAGGAAAATCATAACTACTAAACGAGCATTAACATCAACATGAACCAAGAAAGAAACGAAAACGTAAAGGGAAGTAGTTTAACGTAAAAGGCCTCCACTGATCAAACGACCTATAAACAAAGATCGTTCTTCATAGTCATGATAAAAGACTGCTTAAGCGCATCCGTTGAGCTTTGACACAATTGCAATTAAAAACGTCAAACAACGTAAAAATATTTCAACTTTTTCGTAAGCATAAATTTTATTATTAAGTTGCTTAAATAGACAAATGCGCGTTGCTGCGCATCAATTATCATTGGTCATTCTGCATACAATGGACAATTGTGATCGTAATAATTACGTCATTGATTAATCCACTACAAGAACTGGTGGACGCAAAACGACACTTGGCCGAGGTGGCGGAGAAGCTGCAGAGGTTGGACCTACTGAGGAGACGGGACGACTGGGAAACGACAGTCCAGGAGCTGCCAACAGCTGCTCAACCAGGTAATGACTTTGTGACTCGGGCGTTGGGGACATAGAGTAGTGTATACATAGGGTAGAGTAGACAGAGTAATTGTTTTCTTTTATTGCACGTCTTGTTGCTTAAGTGTTAGATGGTAAAGTGGGTGATAACAAATATGAAAAGTGAATTTCATAATTTCATTTTTTAGTGTCAGAAAATATTATTGAATCTGTGGTGAATACGACGTTAAAACGTCAGCGCGAAGAAGAATCGATAGCATTATCCTCATTGTCCTCCTTTGCTAAGAGAACAAGGATTACAAGGAGATTCGGGATTCGGGATAATTTTATAGATGTCGATGGTGTATTTAACAGTCTTCCTTTAGTCGGTAACGACCCGGGAGTATGTTTGTGGGAGGATGACCGCAGCGAAAATCAACATGCAGACGAATTCACCGAGTACATCCGCAACAGATTCCTTGGTTCGCAGTATCTGCATGATAACGTCGTGGAAAATGTTCATAGTAACAGGAATTACTTGGACGTCGTATATATTCATAGAGGGTGTGATGTGTCTGTCTATAAGAAAACGGAGGCTCCTGTACACAAACAAGGCAATCGAAGTGAAGAAGGTAAGTTATCATTTGAAAATGAACCATTTCATGCATAAATCAACCCCTGATGAAATTGTTTCTTATCACAGGAACTTCAAGGAGAAGGACATGTCAATCAAGCGATAGGGGAGTTGATTGCTGCCAATAGGTTGTCAGCTGAAAACCCAGTTTCAATGCTCACAGACTTCAAAACATTTGGATTCTTCTGGCTTGCCAATGATACTGAAGCCAAACGTGCAGTCTTCACCACTTGGTTTGCGAATGCACACAAAGCTGCAGCTTTTGCACGCATGCTTCTAAATCCTGAGCTGATACAAGAAGAGAATGCACAAAAATTTCCTACATATGAGCGACGACTTATTCTGCAGGAGTTGGCTGTGTTGGAAGAAGAAAATGATCTTAGTGATTTTATTGATGAGATGTCCCCCCTGGAACGCAAAGTATATAGTATCAACAAAAATCTCAGCTGGTTTCGTCGTTATATTCCACCTGCTTATCAGCAGTCATTTGTGCGCAAAGTCTTCGTGCGTGATGGGATTTGGATTACATATACTAAGTAATGTGATTTGAATAACTTATTAATGTATGTATATATATGTGTACTGTATATGTATTTCTTTTCATGATTAGAACATAAACGCATGATTCTTCTGCGAGCTTTGTGTGATCTTCTGATACGGTGGACCGTCTCTAATATCAAACTCACGGGACGGCCATATAATTTTTCTGAGGGAGCTTTTATTGCTCGAGTTTTTCTGTGTGGGTTTAGATTGGACGTTACAAA